CATCCTTCTGCCTTTTAGTGAAACATTTAAGCGAGATGACTAACACCTGTTGTTTTAAATTTGTTTTCCCGCTCCTCAGGGGTGAGCTTTGCACGCAGCAGGCAGTTTGGTTTTGGTAAGCTTTGACTTCTGAAGACTTCTTTTCTGGTGTACACGCTCACATTAGAGGAGGTCCGAGTCTGTTTGAGTCTTGGCCGTTTCTGGCAAGAGGCACAATCACATAATTACACAATTGCAAAGTGCCTTTCTGGGGGTAAAGCTGTTCATGTAACCCACAAAGAGCTTTGGAAGGAACGGAGAGCAAAGGTAGATGTTGCCCTCAAATTACTCCTTCTCTCTTTGACCCAAACGTTGCTGGAAGAAGTCAGAAATTAAGCAGAAGGAAATTTTTTCCCCTTAATCCCCTGGTGCCACTCTGTATCGCTGAATTGGGGGAAATGGCTGTTGCGGTAGGGAATGAAAGAGCATATTGTGCTGCTGCCGCCTCCTCATTTCCCTTGTGTGTCCCCTTCCCCATCACGCCCCTAGCCCCCAGCCCGAAATCTGGAAAGAGGCTTTGCAAGTTCCACTTCAATATTTCAGACGGCTACAATGGATTTTGCAGCTCAATGTTAAGTAAACAGACCTTGCTTAAGCCAGGACTGCTTCATTTTGACTAAACCCTAACTAAATAAGCTAGTTTCATGAAGCGCGGGCCTCCCAGCTTATTCCTTGCTTCATTAACACCTTTTAATCCCGTCGAGACAATCATATGGCCCCCGAATTACCCTTCCCAGGCCTGGGTCAGCATCTTCTCCGTGCCATGGCAGGTCAGAGAGGTTCTCAAATAACTTGCTGCTCAGCTCATCCCCATCTGCAGAGCTGGGAGCTGAGCTGCCTCTTCTCCTCCAGAGCCATCGGCAGAGCGAGCGGTGCCAGGGGTGATCTGCAAGGGTTAACGGAGAGTTAGGCTCTGGGGTGTTTGGCCGGGACTAAAGCGTGATAAATGAAGTCCATGAAATGTCTGAAAAGATGTAGGGAGACCGCCGAGCTCCGCAGCCGCGTGCAGAAGCCGGCCGGCCGGATGCACGTGGTCGCTTTGCTGCGATTCCTCTTCCCGCTGCTCCACGCTTTGAAACTTTATTGAACTTCTCCCGGGGGGCGGAGGAGGGATTAATTACATGCTGGGCGCTCCCCAACTCTTTTGTTATTAAAGTAAATTGTTAATGGTAAAAAAGAGACAGTGGAGCTGTAGGTAGGGTGAGGGTATCACATAATGGAATTGGTTTTCAAAGAGTATGGAACTCCTTGTTCCAAATCTTGGTTGGGACCGAGATTTCAGCACGCCTCAAGAACTTGCCGTAGCGGCCAGGCATAAAAGAGAAATAGCATTGGGACTTTCGGGGCGTTGCTGCCTGTGTCCTGCAGGTCTTTTCCAGCAGATGTGCCAGCCATGTGGCCCCGGAGCCGGCCCCAAACACCTCCTGGCAGGAGGAGTGTGGGCACGCAGCGGGTCTGGCCTCCAGCCCAGCATCAAAGCTCTCCAAAGAGGCCGCGTTATCTTCCTCCTTGCGTGGGTGACACGCGCTGTCTCCGAGTTGGCAAACGGTACCGAGGTGCTTGCCCGCTGTCAGGCGGCTGCCAGGCTGTTTGTCCGCCCGCAGCGCCGGTCCTCCCGCCTCGAGGGACCATCAGGGTGAAGAACCGGCTGCCAAAACCCGGCCCCGTAGCCCCAAACCTCTCTCGTGAGGCGACTCGTGAGTAACCATCCCGCTTGCCCCAGAGCCTCTGCAATTCCCAGCGATGCTCCCGCTCATAAGCCCATCTGCCCTCCTGCTGCCGACACTTCTCCCATCAAGGTGAGCCCTCCCCGGCAGGAAAATCAAATTCTATCATTTGCAAAGGTAATTAACTTGAGGCAAGCTGGTAAGAAGGACGTGGGACATGCACCTGCCTCTGCTTGCTGGATGGTTTCTGGATATTCCCAGGAATAAAAGTTGATAGCCTTCGCGCATCTCCCCTAAGGAAATCTTGATCAGAAATCAAACTCAGTTGGAATTTTGAGGAAACAAGGGTGTTAAGGAAGGACATGGGGAGACTTGGTCAAAATACAGGTGGAGGCACGGGGACTGTGAGGCTCAGGCAGCATCGGGGCCTTTCCAAAAGATGTGGGAAACAGTTATCGCGAGTTACAGGCGCTCGGAAGCGGTCCTGCCGCCGCCGAGGCTCTTCTCTTCTCCGGGAGCACGCAGAGATCTCGCTCGCGTCGCGCTTGCTCCCAAATGCACTTTTCATGACGAACCTGGGAACCTGCTTCTTTTTCGGACTGTCCCTCCGCATCGTTTCTGCGGGCAGCCGCTTCCAGACGTCGTGTAGCCACGGCCGCAGCGCAGCCTCCCGAGCCTCCTCGCAACCCACTGCCAGCAACGGAGATGTGTTTTGTTCCTATGGCAACCCAAACAATATTACCTTGACTTAAACGGATTCAGGCAATATTAAAACCAGCCTCTTTAGGAATTCCTGGTGTTGGAGGGGCTGAGAATTTTAATTTTGTGTAATGCGAGCTGACACCGTGTTTATGAGCTGCTTGCTGAATGTTTTCTTCAATTAGTACAAAGCAGAGCGGATTTGTTTTCAGGGCTTAGCTGGGAGATGGGAGGGTGCGGGCCTTGCGATGCCAAAAGCGTGATTGAGTTACGCTGCAGTAACGGCGCTTCCCTCACCTGAGAGCTGCAAAAAAAAAAGCCCTTTTCATGGAAATCTGGCACACGACAGCATCTTTAAATAAGGCTTGCTAACTGCCTCGTCCCAACAGCAGCGGGAGGAACCGGCTTGGTGCCTTGCGGGTCAATAGGGCTCCTTTCCCACCTCGGACATCTCTTTCCACATTTCCTTGTTCTGCTCTGTCCCTCTCGCCATCAGCCCGCCCGCACTTCGAGGCACATCACGCTCAAAGCTTCCCTCTACCTGCCTTGGCTAAGCAAAAAAAAAAAAAAAAAAAAAAAAAAAAAATCATCTAGGCATTTTCCACAAGCAGCCAGTGATATCACAGAGGCTAGAAATATAAAAGGACCCAGGGAATGTCCAGTATCTATACGGATAAAAATAATTAAGAAACCACAAGTGTGAAGCAAGACGGGGAGTTTTCCATCAGGGTTTTCCTAAACTACCCAGTTCCTTACTTGGAGTCAGGTAGGGATATTGAAGTAAAGCTTTTGTTTGTCAGGTCTATGTTCTTAACGTGTCTGTCCCTGGATTTGGGGCTTTGGGGCAGAACCAGCTTGGCCTGGGTGTGTTGCAGGAGGAAATCTGTCTCTAAAAGATACGGTAAAACCAGATGGGAGCTTGGGGCTAGCTCAAAGTCTAACTGATCTCAAAGTCAAATGATATTTGTGTCACTAGATTGAGCTACATGACAGCATATAGCGAAGCCAGGCGGATCTGTCTTTGGGGACAGTAATTCTCCCAGCTGAGATGCAAAGGAAAGTCAGTACTCCCTCTTAAACCACTTGTTTGAAGGATAAGGGACAGAAACCTGGAAAGAGGAATAGTCTGATTACCCGCAACTGGCATATCTAATTATAAGCTGTTCCCCAGAAGATAAAGAGATAGCAAAGTCCAGTTGCTGGGCATGGAATAAAGTAAGATTCAGAGTGGAAATAAGGAATGAGGAGGTAGCCAGCCTCTGGAGCCTCTTCCCAAGGGATGTGGACAGACCCTGGCTGCCCTTCGCCGCACGCCCACCACCAGTGAACCCCCCCAGAGCTGGGACTCCCTGGGCGAGTCTCTGGGTTGCAGTGAACACAGGGTCGGACTAGATCACCCTGATCTTCCATCTGGGCTTAAAATCCAAGAACATTAGTAACTTAATGCTTAGTAGCCTGTCATATGGTCTTGACTGATCCCAGATAGCCATGATCATGGACTGGCTCTACTGTTGGGTCTTTTTTATTCTTTTTACTATTTAATTTCTGCTGTAACAGAAGGATGTTGGCGTTAGGAAAGGGACAGATTTGGACTCGGCCCAGATTTGGACTGGGATTGCGCCTGGAACACGCTCCTAGTTTGCTCCTTCGTTAAGACAGTGAGAGGTTGTGGTTAAAAGGCTGCTCTTCACTCCCAGCTTTTTCAGCTCAAATTCAACTATTATTTTTCAAGTGTGAATTACAGAAAGACAAAGAGGAAGAGGGGAGAGAGAGAGACGGGGAGGGAGAGGGGAACATGCATGCAAACACACTCACACAAAGGAGAGAGAAATCCCACACCATTCCAGTTGGAATGTCCCAGACACTTCAGCCGAAAGCCACCGCACAGCACAAATCCATGGTGGTATTTGGAAGGGATGAGCCCACCCCTGTAAGCCTCTTCATCCTGCTCCACAGAGTTTGCCAGGAGGATTAACCCAGTCTTGTTCTCAATCCCAGTTTATGAGTTCCCTGCTGGTGGGGAAGATCCTGTGTGTTTAAACAACAGCCTAATTAATCCCTATTTTATTACTTTCTCTTGTCAAGTGGCTAAATAGAAGCTGTCAGCCGGCAGCCACCACCGCTCACATTTGTTTAGATCCCAAATTACTTCATCAGAACCATCTGCTCTGTACGCGGGGCGCTCAGCAGTTGTTTATTTCTCTCTCTGGACACGGCGTGGGGCACAAACAGCCTCCCCCATGGGAATCCTGGTGTAAGGCTCCTCCGGGCCCTGGGGACGGTCCTGGAGTAAAAGTCCTCTCACTAGTGAACAGCCCCAGAGAGGAAGAGGAGGCACGGATCTCCGTCCTGATGGGCCAGGCAAGTTGGTGTTCCCCCCTGGTACCACGGAGGGTCAGAAAAGCCCCAAAATACAACCGGGATGTACACTTCTTGCCGGGATGTGCCGGCACAGCTCCAAACATCCACCCCCTTCCTTCTTCCCTTGGCTTCCTGAGCCCCAACCCGGGGCTGATCTTCCCCGTCCGAGCGTCTGAGCCCCAGCCCCGTGTCTAACCCCGCCCGAGGGTCTAACCACCGGCACCCTCTTTGCAGGCTGTTCCAGACCAAGTGCAGCAGTTGCCTGAAGGCGATCGCCCCGTCCGAGCTCATCATGAGGGTGCTGGAGAACGTCTACCACGTCCACTGCTTCTACTGCTGCGAGTGCGAGCGGCGCCTGCAGCGGGGGGACGAGTTTGTGCTCAAAGAGGGGCAGCTGCTGTGCCGCAGCGACTACGAGAAGGAGAAGGAGATGCTGAGCGCCATCAGCCCTGCGCCCACCGAGTCCGGTGAGGGGCCGGGGCTGGAGCCGCGCGGAGGGTGGGGAGCCAGGGTGAACCTTGTGGAGGGCACGTGCCCTAATTAGCGATGGGGAAGAGGGCGGGTGCTGCTTCATCCCTAATTAACGATGGGGCGGGCTGCAGAGGGAGGAGAGGTAGGGAGGTGGAGGTTTTGGCATCTTTTCCCCCCGGCGATAGGCAGCCGAGGGGGTACCAGGCTGCTGAGATCTACTCGGCCGATCTGGAGAGGTTGGGATGGGTCGAGGCATCACCGACGGCGCGAGGCGGGGCCAGGCTGGCCCTCTGAATTGGCAGCGCTCCCCTGAGCTCTCCCGGCTTCGCGCTGCTCCCCTGCTCCAAACGGCGCCTCGGAAGGCGCCGAGCTCCGAGGAGTCCCGCTGAACCCTCGCCCTGGGAGGTGGCCCAGCGAGGCTGCGCTCCGCTGAATCACCGCTACCCGTCTCCCGTTGCAGTGAAAAGCGAGGATGAAGACGGCAGCCACCCGCACGGCAAAGGCAGCGAGGAGAGCAAAGACCACAAGCGCTCCAAGCGCCCGCGCACCATCCTGACCACCCAGCAGCGGCGGGCATTCAAGGCCTCCTTCGAGGTTTCCTCAAAACCTTGCAGAAAGGTATAAGGGAGGCCACCACGCCTTGGCTCGGATCCTCTTAAGCGCAACTGAAATTCTGATTCAGCTCTCCGGGTTTTGTGGACAGGTGAGAGAGACCCTGGCAGCTGAGACGGGCTTGACTGTGCGGGTGGTACAGGTCTGGTTCCAGAACCAAAGAGCCAAGGTGAGTGTTGGTTCCCGCGCCGCAGCTGGGTTCTGCGTACCCGTGGGACATCACACACGCTCGTTCAGCTAAAAGGAAACGTAGAATAGTTTAGGAAAATTAAAAACGGTTAGAAGAACAGCTCTGCAGGACCAAACCACAAGCCCACCTAGTCCTACAGGCTGCTATCTAGCAGTAGCAAAAGCTTAAAGAGAAATCCAACAATTGATTCCTCATAGACGTTCGCAGGGCTTAACAGTTTTCACCTTGGGTTTGTTGTTTTTTTTTTTTTATTACTCTCTTTCTCCTTGCTTTTTCCCCCTCACTTTAGAAAGACTGGAATGATTTCCCGCTTCTCTCTTCTAGAAGTTGAAACGTTTCTAATTTTGCAGAATTTCAAGGGTGCAAAGAGAAAATGCGTGGCTTTGGAAAAAACCTCACTTTGTGGTAAAACAAACCCTTTGGATTTTAAACTGCAAGTGGCACCTCCCGCAGAGATAACACAGCCTTTTCTGCCAGCCCTATTTCCCCCGCAGGGCTGACTGCAGAGGAGTCACCCAGAGGAGTCTGAGCAGGGTTGTAGCAGGGCAGTGCCCGGTCTCTGAGAAAGGCAGGCGGCCGTGGCCGCTGCTGTGTTAAACACAAATTCCCCTCCTCTCAGTCAGAACCTCAAACCCCGGGGTCTCCGTCTCCTTGCAGATGAAGAAGATCGCCCGCAGGCAACAGCAGCAGCAGCAGCAACAACAGGAGCAAGACCAGCTGGGCAACCCCCGCTTAGGGGCTGGGCGAGGGACCGGTCGCAGCAGCCGGCAGAGCAACGACGACAGCGAAGGTGAGGAGCCGCGGCGGGCGGTGGCAGCGCGGGCGATCGGCTCGGGTGCGTTTGAGGGAGAACGCGGGCGGGAGGGCATTAGCAGAAAGCACGCGGGTCGCAGCCGGATTGGTAGGTACACACTGGGGTAACTCGGCAATAGCAAGGCTCCTGGGTTCCTCGTGGCGCAGCGCGCGCCTCCTCTTTTTGAAGAGAGGCTGGGGTTTTTCTGCTGCACGTACGCACCAGTCCCGGGTGGTGCTGGACCACCAGACACCGCTGCAGCAGTGGCAGATAACGTTATTTCCCCGCTGCGTGCCGCGCGCCCTTTGCTCCAACCCATCCCACCGGTTGTGTCTTTAGACGGCGCGAGCGTTCACGGCCTGGATGGGCTCATGGTCCCCTACCCCCGGATCCCCCAGCAGCAGCTGCTGCCCCTGGACCAGAACGGCTACAGCACAGATTTGTACAGACAAGGGCTGACGCCGCCCCAACTGCCGGGGGACCACCTGCACCCCTACGGTAGGAGAGCGGCGGGGAGATTGTCCTGTCTCTGCACCGAAGCTGCGCGTGGCAGCCCGAGTCACGATACAGCCAACTCTGCTGTGACGAAGCCAGCAGCAGTGAGCGCTCCACGGGGCTTGGACTTTGGGCCGAGCCTTTCTCAGCAGCTTGGGGAGGCCAGAGCCCCAGACTGAGCTCTGCTAGGGGCCAGGGAGCGAGGCTGGGGTTTTTCCGCCATCCGACGTCAAGTATTTGGGTGAGGGAGGAAAGAGTTACACCGAAAGCTGGTCCTGTGTGTGGGGCTCACCTCATACCAGCCCTGCTGACCGCTGCTCCAGGTGAAACGTGGCCCTGCCGTCACCCTTTTTCCGCGCTGCAGCTCCCCGTGAGACACAACCATGCCACATTCCCACTCCTTTCCTTTTCCTTCCTCTTCTAGACTCAGAAGGAGTTTTTCACGATATGGACAGTGAGAGCATCAGCCACCTGGGAGACTGCCTGCTCTCAACGGCCGAAGCCAACCTCCTCCAAGCCCGCGTGGGCAACCCCATTGACCGACTCTACTCCATGCAGAGCTCCTACTTCACATCCTGACCATAGAAAAGCTCCCAGCTCTTCACGAGTATCTCGGATGGATGCTGCTTCAAATTCAGAACAAGGGTGAGGGGGAAGAAACAAGACTGAGACCTTCAGAGACATTCCTCGAGCACTGCACGACGGAGGAGGCATTTAGGTCCACCACACGTATAAGCACTAATTCACGGAGACCTTTCACAGCCTGAAGGACTTTGGATCGCCTCTCTCCTTTTTTCTAGCCACGAGTAGATCGACGGTATGATGTTGTTTAGCTGTAACTTTAGCAGTTTGTCCAGTGTTTAAGCTTTTTGAGCATTATGTCCTGCAAACAAAGACTGGCCGAGCTAACCAGGGCTGCCCCTGGAAGTGGGAGGTGCCCTTCCCGCAAGAACTCAGTTTATTTAAGTTTTGGTTGCAGCTCAGCTGCTCACTGTGCTGGTGCTGTTTTGCCTCATTTCCCAATCCGGATGCAGACTTTATGGGACAAGGTTAACTTTCAAAAGTGAAATCCAAGGTCCGGAGGCATCTCCAAAGGATGCCCCTGCTGCTTCAGAGATTTTCTACGTGGTGGTCGATCAGCTGGCCAAGGACAGTTTTTTAACGTTTGACGTTTCAGGAATGCACAGTAGTTTGGCCCCTGATTGAAACGGCAATGCTCGGGTATCTGCTTCAAGAAACAACAGACTATTTATCCTCTGTCATGTTCAAGGATGCCAAGAGAAGTGTAACACACCCACAGCGAGTTCTCTATCGCCTTCACGTCTGTCTGTCTCTAAAAGAGCAGTTTTACTCCCTTTATGGACGAAGACTTATTCTCACAAACTGAGAGACACGGTGCCAGCCACACTAATTTCTGTTGGTTTCTTTTTTAAAAGAGCCAAGCGAAACAATTTTACTCCAAAAATATTCCTGCTAGAAAGCCCCTCCTCTGCAGGTCTGCCCACAGAGGGATTTCCCACCCTGCCTGTGCTCCCAGTTTGCTCAGGGCGCCCGAGCACCTCGCTTCCCTCCAACAAGTGAGGAGAGGAAGAAACTGGATGGCGTTATCCCGCAACGTGTCCCTGCCAAGTCACTTAACTTCAAGAGGCCACGTTTGGGTTTTGCTTCGAGGGCAACCCGGGGCTGGTGTCAGGCCAAGGGAAAAGCACGTCTCTACTGTGAGTAGAAAGGAATAATCCATTTTCTCCATCCACCATCACACCACGAGGCAGGCAAGTCACGAGAAGCAGGTGGGCACCAATGCGTGTACCCACAAAAAACGCAAGAAAGAGAGAGCAGAGAAGGAAAATCTGAATTATTACCAAAGGGAAATTCTTTATTCTGCTGCCGAGGACCCCAAGTCTGGGATTTCATTCTTTATATACATGAAGGAGAGCTGGTATTCCTGGAAAGGTCAGCTTTTCCCACGGGCCTGCTTACAGCATGCCAGCTGAAGGAATACGGTCCTCCAGCACTAACCTTCCCTCGTCTATTTGAACTGAACAACTGGTGGACAACTCCAAAAGGAAATAATGACTTACTTTTAAATCTTGGATCTCCAGAGTTGTGAGTCAAGGGGTGCAACCCGAGAACCTGGCTGACTGATGTTTCTGTATGTGGTGTTTTACTTCTAAGCCTGCGCAGGCTTGTCAGTCTGATTTTAAAGGTGTGTAGTCTCTTAAATGAGGGAAAAAAAAAAAAAAAAAAAAGAAAAAACAAACAAATAAAGAAATGGCTAATTTTTGTCATCTGCAGTTACGGAGGAAGATTCCCAGGAGGAACTAAAAAAGTTCTGGATTTGGGGAGGAAAGGAGATGCAGTCCTGATGCATTTTGCATTTTATCAGGACTTTTTCACCTTCTCGACTACTTATAGAGAACTGACATAAAGAACGATGTGTAACAGAGCCACAGCCCTTATAAAGATCACTCCACCGTTGCTCCACTTTTAATAAAGCTGTATGAACGCGACACGTGCTGATGTGCAGTCACTTCCCGTTGCGTTTACAGTGCCAGGTTCAGTAGCTGGACTTGCCGGCGCTCTCAATATCAGTGTCTCTCCCCAGAAGGCAGCCGTGTACATAGTTTACAGACACTTTGACATTTCTTTTTATGAGGAAAGGGGGAGCCTTTCGCAGAAATAGCTATTTATGACACCTATTTGCCCAGATAGACAAGATCTAGACCAAGCTGCTGCAGCTGGGTGACTTCCACCTTTGTTGTGTGGTCATCCACCCCTAGGAAATGAAACGGGAAAACTCCTAAAGCTGTGTGTTACTTTTAGAGGCTCTTGCACTAGAGACGGTCTCAGTTTAGATTAAGAGAATGTTACAGTGAATTATGTGCAAATTGATGTTTCTCCCAAATACCAGAGCCAGCTTCACCCACTGAAACCCCACCCTCTCTTCCCTGTGATCTAGTGCTGTGATGTGCTGATGTTTTTTTGCATGTACATTTGAAAATAAAAAAAAAAAAAAAAAAAAAAAGCAAACTGTAAGTGGAAATCTGAAGCTTGCCTCAGCCACGGTCAGACAAACTGCACGCACGAGCAGTCGGCCGGCTCCCTGCAGACCCACAAAGGTTGGCCTGAGCTTCTCAGGAGGACGGCCCATCGTTACCTTTCCCAGGAACCAGGCGTCCTGGAGCAAAGGGGCAACTAGTGCTGGTGGCTGTTCGTACCTTAACGGAGTCAGCAAACCCAATAGCAGGAGGCACAGCTAGTTGCAAGCGGAACGCAAATAAATAAATACGGTGAAGAGCTATGCTAGACCTCGAGCTACTCATGCGAAGGAGCCTGATGGCAACCGGAGTTCAAGTGCGAGAGCCAGTGATGAAATTCATACCCCATAGCCGAGGAAAGAAACAACTCCTTGTTAGGTTGCAGGTGCTCTCCAGTTTTTGAGTCCTGATTCTGCCTGGAATGAGCAGAAATCAGAAAGGTGGACGCCAGCACGGCAGCTGACAGAGCCCAAAAGCTGTCAGGCTTGCCAAGCAAGTCCCGCTGCTTCTCCTGCCAAAGGCCAGAGCTGCTTCGAGCACCGAGGGCCCCGTGCCAGAGCTCAGCGCCTGCCCGTGAACCGCCTCCCAACCACGTCTTGCAGCTGGAAGTCTTCTTGCAGTGACAGGAGACTTGGGGAGACAGCGCCGGGGAGCGCCGGCGAGAGGCAGAAATTGCTTTGTGCACGTACGCAGAGGGGATCTGACCCTTCAGCAACCGGGGGGTGTCAGCGTGCACCCCAAAGCACCTATGGCCATCCGTGAATTAAGCCTCACGGCTATCAAAGGAGTTGGGGAATGTGTACTTGAGAGGAAATAGCAGAAAGAGGCTAAGCTCGCTCGGCAGCAGAGTGAAGAATAGAATCACTCACACCTGGGGCAACACCCACAGGTTTGGTTTCCTCTTTTTGCTCCGCATGGTCAAGAGACAGAACAATCGCTCACACGGAGCAGCGAGGTGCAGGTCCTCGGCCGTGACAATCCAACCCATTTGCTGAGAAGGAGGATTTGGGAATGCCCACTGCTCTCTGAAATGCCCAACGTTTCTCTCCTGGCTTTGCAGGCAGGAGGATAAAGGTGAATAAAAGCCAGTCGAGGTGACAGACTGACCACGAGATGAAAAACGCTCCCCTCTGCCCACACAATTTCCCTCGTGCTCGTGAGTGACTCAAAAAATCATCTGGACGACAGCCAAGGAAAGCAAATGTGTGTGTGAATGGAATGTGGCTCCGTACAGCGCTCTGCCCTCGACAGTTGCCCATTTCAGACCCAGGCCTGCCAGCAGCACTAAATCTCTCCCTGTGACTGCAAACACCAAAGGAACACGCTGATTTATGGTTCCTTTAAGTAAGAGAAGCAGAGTGTAAAACGAGAATATTTTCTGGATGAAAAATTAAAGAGATGTTTTTGTTAGTTCCTCATTCTAGGATCATGTGTAATTTACCTTATTGGTTTTAAAGTTCCACTTGAAAGGAAAAGTGACATCAACAGGAGTTAAAGCAACAGGCTGAAAAAAGTCCCGACACACTTAACTTCACATTCTGAGAGATCTAAACCAAGAAGAAATGGAGGAAAAACAAAGCAGAGAATTAACTAACCTAATGATCCTTGGCTTTCTCTTAGTTAGGACTTCAGAACTCCTTGCATGCATTAATTAATTATCCCTCATTACTCCCCCAGCCCAGTAGGTGTTATTTATTTCAGAGGTGAGTAAAAAGACACAGAACATGTCACGACTAGCTTCCAAGGCCACACAGAAAGACAGTGGGCAAGTTAAAACCGAAAAAAACCTGACATCCAGTTTGCTTACCTACCAGCCCAAATGCACGTTTGCCTGGAAACAAGAGTCGAGAATAATTAAAAGGGGAGAAAACACAGGACTGGAAGATAGAAACCAAGCAGAGAATGGCAAAACCCGTGCTGGAAGACAAGAAACAGAAGGACTAGTGACACAAAGAGACTCGTGTGAACGAAGGATCCTTTACAATAATTAACCCCGAAGCGAGAAGGCCCACACAGGTCTGACGCTGCTTTCTTACCAGCTCTCAACCACCTTAGAACTTGCTCCTTTGGGTTCTTCTCCTTGGTACTGCAGGGCTCTAGTGTTTATTTCTGGTCTGGTTTATGTTTGGGAGGATGCAAGAGGACCAACCTATCCAAATCCTGCTCTATTTCTTTTTTTTTTTTTTTTTTTTTCCCTGTGTCTCCCACTCTGGGAAATGCAGGCTTATTCACTTATTGATTTCAGCCACTTGGCATTAATTTAGCTGAATCTCTTTGCAGCCTCTGGAGATAAAGCTGAACCTACTGGTTTGATTGACTGCCTGAGGACTTTTTTCCCTGGTTCAGCTTTATGCCAGTAACCACCCTAACAGCTTCCCGCACTTGCTTCCATGAGCCTGTCCTAATCAAACCAAGAGGTCTGAGACGGTATCACAATCCTGTGGTACGAGAAATGAAGAGAATGCTTCCTGGGCTCCTAACTCTTGTTTAATTTGCAGGTTTTCAGAGGTCTCCCTTGCCAGTTTACACCTTGTGAAAGGTACTAGAGGAACCGATGCTCTTTTCAGCTTTTATTGCTAAATACTGTGACAGGACCAAACAAACAGCTGGATTTGGAAATACCAGCTTTTCACGGCACTCACAGGGACATTTCCTTACCCTGTGTAGCCAACTTTGCTGCTACCACACATCCAAGCAGGTCAGGTCCACAGCCCTTCCCGTGTTTGCCAATGCCAGGAATAGCTCTAGTTGCCACTCGGATTTTATTCTGGCAATCAGCAAGAGCAGGCAAGAGCAGAAAGCTGCAGAACTCCTGCTCCATGCTCCTCACTTAGAGGTCTCAGGCCTCTCTGCCTAAGGGAGAATTAAACTGATTAATCATGCAGTGCTGCACATGCAGCTACAGATTCCATCAAGGCTAAGAGGAAAGCAAGAGGATACTTCCTGGCTGCTTCTAGCTCACCCAGCAGAAGGAAAGAAAATTGTTGGTATTCCTTCTACTTTTCACAAAGGAATTTGCCAAATCTGCCAGGGCTCCAAGTTGACTGAATCTAGAAACTTTTCCAAGGGAGCTGGTAAACTGAGGAAGGCAACGATTTCAAGTAGTGATCACCATCACAATACTTCCCTCCACGGGAAGGTTCTGTCATCCTCTGCTACACAAAGTTATTTATTTACATTACACATGCAGTGCAAGATGTGCATTCTTTATTCAGAACAAAACTTGCAGCTGCCTCACTAGTATTTTCTCAGAAAGCATTTCTCTCCTCGATTGCACATGGAAACAGGATGGAGCAGCATCTTCCTCTTCCCCCTCTCGTGGTAACAAGTGAACTGATGCCCGTGGGAGTTTGGCTCATCGATGACAAGAGCAAGTGCCTGGCAGCTCGGTGGTTAATGTGTTGGAGCAAGTAATAATAGAGTGGCTCTGGCTCCTGAGAAGGAGGAGGCATAACTGGGCTTAAGAGGGGGCCCAGTGCACCTTAAACATAATGAAAAATGGCTTTTCTGCTGACAGGCTGACATTTCAATACAATGTCAACAACATGTAAAGCACCTTTGCTTCTGTGTAACGGCATCCTTAATAAAGCTATTCACACCACAGACATTTCTGACTAATGGGGTGCTGCTTGGTATAAATAAAACTCAAAAGACTCACTAAAAATAGATTTCTCCTCCTTTTCTGGTAGCACTTGCCCCCTCTCTCAATTAATTTTAAAGCAAAGCTACCATCACCTTTTTCTCCCAGCTTTTCTGCCAGAAGATAAAATGGTTCTTTACATTCCAAATGCATGGCATTTGATAAATGGAAACAAAGTTTTCTGCAAGCGTGCCTGCATGTTTTCAGACCTGACCCCAGCATCTTCTGTCCCCATCACTGCTGAAAGGCAGCCAGCTCTGTGAGACAGACAACAGCAACGCCGACAGCCAGTTTTCCAATTCGGGCTCTGCTAGAAGCTGGAGCAGCTCAACTTAAATCTGCTGTCCCTCTCCCCAAAGGAGTTAAACTCTGCCCAGCTGGAAAATGCCAAGCGATGTTTGCCAGCCACCACAGGCTCAAAGGCGAACGCTTGGACTTACGCCTGGCTGAAACATGAATAAGGATTAATGTGTCCCAGGAAGGGGGTGTGAACCCCTGGGAACCAGGTCAAAGCCAAGTTTCCCAGTCCATGCCTCACCCTCTCGTAGAGGTACAAAAAAAACCCCTCACCAACACAGCAAAGCTGGGCTGTACTGTCAGACAAAGACTCTGCTGGCACTGTACACAATAGCTCCTACATGTCATCTGCTCCCTGCACACTTCTGGAAAACTTTGGGTTATGGCTCCCTTCTGGAAGACCAAGATCCTGCTCTGGACAGCAGCAGAGCTGCATTTGTCTAACGAGGTCGGAGAAGCTCATTTCTCCTTCCTCAAACCTGCTCTCGAGTACCCCAAAGGACATTTCGAGGTTTAAACTTTTGCTGGGATTCTCAGTCCCACTTAAACAGACCTACGGGGATTTTCAGACACAGCACACCAGAGCAGACCCAAGGGCCCCAGCTCACAGCACCCCAAGCTCTCCCTCCACAGACACACTCACAGATCTCATAAGCCCAGGTCTTAATCCCACCCCTCGTAAGACCATCTGTTTCTTGTATTTTTTTTTTTTTCCACTAGTTACAGCTCAGAAACAACCTCTCCTTAGAGCTGGGCTCTTTGTTCCCCCGTACAACAAGAGGTGCCCCCACCCACCCCTGCACTGGAAGATCCCTGTTGTGCTGTCGATGGAGCAGTCCCTGCTCTGAAGTCCGCAGTTTTTCTGCCGTCTCTGTCGGCAGGAAGACTCCCTCTGCTGTTCTAAACCAGCACAAGGCCTGGGGCTACAACCCCGCACGGCACCCCCAAAACTGGGAGCTGCACAAGACGTCTTCGAGGGGGTAAAGCTGAGCCTCGTGGTCAAAGAAATGTCCCTGTAGTAGGTCCAGCTCAGAGAACAGCTTCCATCATCAGTGGGAAAAGCCAGAACTGGCTTTGGATCTCAGAAAGTGTGGGGGTTTTTTATTTTGTTTTTGTTTTATTGGGAGGAAGGAAAATATTTGGCTTAATTATCAAAGCAGCTGTCGAAGAACACAGACCACATTAAAAGAGGTAAGGGCTGATTTCAGCTTTTGGTTTACATCTGCAAGTTGCTGCTGATCCTTCAGTGTCGCTTCAACACAGTTCTGTAATTTATTTACTTTATAAAAGTTTTTAGAGGCAACTCAGCAGACAAAAGCCAGCACTATCAGCACACAAGTGTCTCTGTCAGGAATGTTCTGACATCCCGCTCGGAGTCCAGGCGTCTGCTGGGGACAAGCGTAGTGTGACCAGCACCGAGAAAACCACATCGCAGGGCTGCGCTTTGTTTTTCAGAGGAGAAGAAAAAAACAACCCAACCATGCGCTGGAACAATACTCCAGAGTTCAGAGAGACTTTTCATTCAGTCCTCAAGATGAATTTGAATCCCAAGGCTCCCCTATGAAAAAAAGCAGAATAAATAAAAGCATCAGGTAGGCTCTGTGTATGTGCAGCACCCTAGTTATGAGGGACGAGAGGTTAATGTGTCAGGTCATGGGAGTACGTCACATTCATGTGATTTGTTTAGGCTTAGTAACGTGTTATTTATTTTAACGTTGCTCCATAGATGTTCACAAGATCTTTAGTAGAGCGCTGCAAGCTGACAAAACCATTCTGTATATATTACTGGGCAAAACTGATGACTAGGCTGATGAATCGTTTCAGACAAAAATCAAAGCTTCACCTCAGCAGGATGGCTTTTCTCCCATAGCCTTTTGCCACAGGGAACCAGCTTGACCCAGTACTGAGAATTCCCAACCCATGGGCAGAAATACGCACGTCCGTAATGACCGCACACATCGCTGACGACCCACACTAATGAATTAACACACTTTTTAGTCTAGATAAAGCTCCTGGCTGCGCTCTGTGTTTTTCTGAGACAGGAAAGGGAAGGCGGGTGGGTGAAAAATGCCGGTCTAGGCGTGATGTTGGGCTGTGTTATTCCACTCCAGCCGTTCCAGCCAGCAGCTCCCAAGCAAGACGCGGCGAGGGGCTGTCTGCAGGTCCGGGGCGGGGGGAAGCGGCCCCGCTCCGCAGCCCGACACCCACCTCCCGCGGGGAGCTTCACCCGGTCGGCGCAGAGCAGGAAGGCGTCGACGTGGTCGCTGCAGTTGACGACGGAGGTTTGGTTCTCCCTCAGGCACCGCTCGAAAGCGGCAAAGGGTTCGGCGCAGTCCCGGCGGATCTGCCGCACGATCGGGCTGCGAGAATAAAAACACACACACACACACACACACCCCAAGGGCTTTCAGCTGCCGGGGACCGGAGCTACCGGGGACCGGGCCGAGGCCCCAGCCCGGTGGGCCCGGCCCTTCCCGCACTCACTGAGCGGCGGCGCAGCGGGAGATGCGGAGGCGGAGCGGGTGACAGTCGCGCTGCCAGGAGGCCGGGCTGTCGGCCACGCAGCGCCCGTACTGCTCCATCTCACTGCGGCAGTAGCGCGCCGTGATCTCCAGGGCCGCCTGCCTGCGGGAAAACGGCAAAATTAATATCTGAGGCGGGGGGAGAGAATCGGGGACACCGAAGCCCCGCGTACTCACATGCCGCCACCGCCGCCCCGGGCGCCGCGCCGTCTGTGCGCATGCGCGGCCGCTGTGCGCACGCGCCGCGGCGCCCTGGGAGGTCCCTGCGCATGCGCTCATCCCCTCCCGCCGTCCCTCCCCGGAAGCGGAAGTGGGGTGCTGTGGGTTTCTCGGAAGATGGCGGCGGCCGCGGACGAGCTGGTCTCGTCGGTGACGCTTTACCGGCGGCGGCCGCGGCTCCTTCACGGGACCGTGCTGCCGTTCGTGGCGGGGCTCTACCCGGCCTGGCTGTGGCTGTGGGGGCCGCGCGTGTGGGCGGCGTGGCGGGAGGAGGAGGAGGAAGGCCCGAGGCCGGGCCCCGCGCCCCCCGAGGCCGCCTTGCTGGCCCTCGCCGCCATCGGCGTCGTCCATTTGCTGACGGCGCTCTCGGGGCTGTGGTCGGTGCACGCTCACTGCGCCCTCACCTGCGTGCGGGTGAGTCCCGGGCCGGCGGGGCCGGGTGCGGGCTGCCCACCCCGGGCAGCGCGGGGAGGCTCCCGCCGCACCCGGCGGGTTCTCCGGTCGTGCGTGGGGTGGGTGGGGGTGGGGGTCCGCTTTTCCTGCGGGTGGGTGTTTCGACGTGGCAGAGGCACCTCAGCCGTGCCGGGGAGCTTCGTGTGTTCGAGAAGATGCCCAGCACCGAAACGCTTCGCCCTTTCGCTGGGCGGTGGGGAGGGGGAGGCGCGTGTGGGCCTCGAGCCCCGGCCCCAAATCGCCGGCGGGGAATCCAGGGAGTTTGCACACAGGCAGCCTGGGGATGATGTGAGAGTTCAGGGCGAGGGCCATCAGCCTGTGCTGGCGTGGCTCGTTCCTCTTTGTGAGTTTTGCCATTTTCGCCATTGCAGCCGCGTCTTAGTGGCAGGTGGATATGTCTGAAGTGCAAACGAAGTACTGAAGATCCTTCCTCTGGTGGCAGCGTGTGGTTTTGGGGGTGCGTTGGGATAATTGTGTCTTTTGATTCTCACAACGGCTCCGTGAAAGCACGTGGCTGCACAGAGCCCTTTTTAGCACAATCTGGCAAGGATTTCTCCCCAACTCATTGAAATTCAGGGTCCGTGATCCGCCTTATGACACGTATCTTGTTTGTGTTTCAGGAGCCTTGTCCTAAGAAAGCCACATTGGCTAAAGTTGTGCCAACCCCAAATAACGGATCGGTAGAATTAGTGCCACTCCACAGAGACCAGGTAAGGACACGGCTGACGGGAGCAGCCCTGGCATTTGCCACATACCAGGGACCTGCTGCATCGTGCTGTCAGCCTTCAGTTTATTAGCTTTTAACTTAAGCAACTAGGGAAAAATCAGCTGTGGTCGGTCAAAAGCGGGGATGTTAAAGATTGCACGGTGTCTCCTGGTGCATGTACCACGAACAGAATCATACAATAACTGGAGATGGAAGGGGTTGGGATTTGAGTTTTTTCCTTCAGGTGGAGTAAAGCCCTTGGTGTGCATTCAACTGGTTGTTTTTTTATCCCCCTCTCTGCAGGGTGAGGATGGGCAGGAGGCTCTTTCCTTTGAATTTCAGAAAATCAAATACTCTTATGAGATAGACGGCAAGAAACAGTTTCTTCCTGTAGCTTTCCCCGTGGAACATCCCCTTTGTTACTACCAGAATGCCCGAGGCTATCAGGAGGACAAAGATATCCGAGCAGCTGAGAAGAAATATGGTACAAACAAGTAAGTTTTCCAGGTGCAGATATCTCTTTGCCAAAGAATCTCACTGCACCAGGAACAGCAGTGTTGAGCCACGGTCCTAGTTCTGTTTTTTACATTTCAGTTACTCCTGGCACTTCCTCCAAATCCCCTTAAGGACAGGGAACAGTATCGGGCCAAGGGGTTTTCTCCAGGGTGGGCTACAGTTGGAAATTAATTGCGTATAACAAACTAACTGAAACAAAGTAATTAAAAAGAGGGACATTGTGGGTGGACATTCTGGAGTACAGCCTGCTCTGACACCAGAGACTGCAGGAGGCTTTTGGGTTGGGCTTTTGCTGAGAATCTGGAACATTTAAGTTAATGAGGATACAATTCTTTCCCAGGGCAGAGATGGTGGTGCCGGAGTTCTTGGAACTCTTTAAAGAAAGAGCTACAGCTCCATTCTTCGTCTTTCAGGTAAAATGAACAAAGAAGGAGCTGTAAATGTTTCTATCTGCTGAAAAATGAGGGAACTCCTTACAGTCCTGGCTTGAGAGCCATGGATCAGCTGGCAGCTTTCTAAAATCAGGAGTGGCTGCTGTTCTTGCACTGTAATATTGATTTTACTTCTGGGAGTGACTCTGCTTCTTACTGTTGACTTACTGTGATTTTCTGTTTTTCTGGCTTCCTACAATTAAACATGTACTAAATTAGCTTAAAAACCCCCCAGAATTCCTAGAACTTGAAGGCTTTTGTTTTCTGAGGGAGATGAGAATAACGTCAGTGTCTTGTTCTCCCCGCAGGTGTTCTGTGTGGGTTTGTGGTGCCTGGATGAATACTGGTATTACAGTGTTTTCACCCTCTCCATGTTGGTTGCATTTGAAGCTTCTCTGGTCCAGCAGCAAATGAGGAACATGTCAGAGATTCGAAAAATGGGCAACAAGCCATATATGATCCAGGTAATCAGAACCAGAGGGGGCTGTGCATGAAATTTATGCTGTAACTGACTTGCTGTTCCTTTTTCTCATCCTTTTTCTCTGATTTCTGGAGCATGCAGAGCTTCTCAAAGTGCCTTTTTTTTATTTTCCCCCTACAGGTTTACAGAAACCGCAAGTGGCGCCCCATTTCCAGTGATGAGATTATTCCAGGGGATATCGTTTCCATTGGTAATGACCTGCACGATAAACAAAAGCTTGTTTAAAATCAGATTCCTTCGGGTGTGCTAAGTTGTGCAGTGAATTGAATTAGACCTAAAAAAAATCTAACGGTCTTGGTTGGGTGCTTTTGAGGACTTAGGTGTCACAATTCAAGGGTCCAAGAGATGAATCCTTGGGCTGGATCTCTTGAACCTGCTAGCTGTCTTGAAGAAAGCTAAATACTGAGATAAATTGGCCTCAGACTCTTCAGCTTTGGATTGTGAAGATGAAGAGTTTTCTTCCTCCTGACAATATCTTCCTCGAATGGATGGGGGAAGGGCAAGCCTCTCTTTTAGCCTTGCTCTGCTTTTTAAGCTTGTATTACCCCAGGATACGGTGCCAGTCTTTGAAGCTTGAATGGCAATAAAGAACTAAGTGACTTAATTTTCAACTTTCCTGGTCTCAGTAGAGACCTAATAACTTTCAAACTCCTTCAGTTCTCAGCAGTGCTGAGTGGGTACGTGCTGTGCTGGACTTGGCCCCCCGTGGGAGGTTTGAAGCTTTAGGAATTTCCTGGATGTCACCTAAACTGAAGCAGAGCTGTGCCCTGCCAGACAGATAGCCAAACCATAATCACTTCTGCCTTTGAGGAGCTTCTCAGGTTTAATGTATTAATTGCAGGCCGATCTCCTCATGAAAATCTAGTGCCGTGTGATGTGCTGCTGCTCCGTGGAAGGTGTATCGTAGATGAAGCTATGCTGACGGGAGAGTCTGTGCCGCAGATGAAGGTCTGTGTGAAATGTCCTCTCTGCTCTCCCTTTGTTGCAACCTGGAAAAGTAAAACCATTCAAGGCGCTGCAGCATCTGCCAGTGCAAATCCGTCTCTTTGTGTGAACACTGGCCCAGGCAACCTGGCCTGTTTGTTATCAGCTCCTGTAATCAGTGATTGATGGTCCCTGGTAAATGAGAAACAGAAATGTCTGTTTTGTCTGGCAATGGCTCCGGCCTTTGGGTCTGAGCTCCCAGCGTGTGGGCACGGCATCGCCCTCCTACACATTCCCCAGTCTGGATTCCTTTGGCAGGGTAGAGGTGGGAGGAGGAACAAGTGTAAAGCACTTCAAAACCCAGAATCTTCCTTCTTTTTGTGCCAATGGGTGACTTAAAAATAATAAAGTAGTGCTTGCAGAGCCTCCCTTGTTGAATTCAGCGTGCCAGGGGTGAACTAGTCACCCGAAACCAGAATCTCCCCAGATGCCAGGCTCTAAACCGAGGCTGATCAGGAGCTGAATGATGTGTTAAGGTCTAGATTCGGGATTCAGTTCAGGCCACCTTCAGCTGAAGTGAGGCTGACAGCTTCTCGTGAGATAAGAACAGAAAGGAGCACTTGAAGGCCTTTTGTTGATAGGGGTGAACCTGAGACTTGAATATTGTTCTGCAGGAGCCTGTGGAGGATCTCAGTCCTGAGCACGTCTTGGACATGCAGACAGATTCCCGGTTACACATCATATTTGGGGGAACAAAAGTGGTGCAGCACATCCCGCCCCAGAAAGCCAGCACAGGACTGAAACGTATGTACCTGCAGAAATTCCCTCGGCGAGGGCGTGTCGTGCGCTCACAGGTTTATTTTGAACTGCTTGATGCACTCTTGGAGGATGTCACTGAGTTATTCTCCTTGGCCCTGCCATTAATGATTTACTGTGATTGTTTGACTGCTGTGATACTCTACTGAAGTTGACTATGTCCCCTTGTAAGCGAGAGCAGGGTGTAGCTTCAGGTGTTTTCTGTCTGTGAAAAGCCTATAAAAGATTTCCAGTAAGCTTAAGCATCTTCATTCCTGCTCCTGTTCCAGCTGTCGATAACGGGTGCGTGGCGTATGCTCTGAGAACCGGCTTCAACACATCTCAGGTAAGATGGGAACGTGCCTTCTCCCCTCTGTCTTGGCGATGATTGTGCCGTTCAGCGCTTCGCTGTAAGGAAATCCTTGTGAAGCACAGCAGTGGGGAAATAGAAGTCAGAGCATTAAAATGACCTCTGGGTTTGGAAGAGGAATCAATAGGGTTGGTGTGTTCTCTGAGTGTGAGATATGTAGCCTGAGGGTTGATGCAGAAGCCTGGGAGTCAGGATTTGGGGTCCCTGTTGTGACTGGCTGCACTATGTATATACTACAGCTCCTGGTTGTCCCTGTTTCTGTAATGAAAATGGTTGGGAAAGGGCGTTTTGAGGGTGTTTGTAGAGACTGGAGATGCGGACAT